GGTACTTTGGATTGAATTTGATGATTTTATTTCAATCTTTTGTTTTCTATCTGTTAGGTAGGATCTGAACCAACTTAACATTGTTCCCTGAATGCCAAAAAAATAATTTAGTTAATAAAATTTAATGATTTACACAGTCAAAAACCTTTGCCACCAACATGCATTTTTTGATTAATAGATTTCAACACAGTGTCTGTTAACTTAACACTTTGTGGACCGGCAATTTAAATATTTAAATCACCCTGTGGACCGGCATTTTTGTACCTACTACCCTAACTTGTGCACTGTTCATTTTAAAAATTAATATAAAATCTCCTAATTAATTTTATGAACTAAATTTTTTTGAGAACACTTACCAGTGCTTCTAGAAGTGCTTGAGGGTGTGATATTTCTGGAAACATTCCCCTCTGTGAAGTGGCATTACACAAAACTTGCAAATGTAGGCAGTCCTACTCCTTTTCTTGTGAATTGCGCAAACACGGCATTGTCTAGAAGGCTGCTTCCCCTTGGAATGTTCACTCTTCACAATTTTCGCGAGGGTATGTTTCCGCATATCACCCCAGAGTCGCCCAGGGGTGTCCACATGAGACCTGCATGGGGTGGGAGTTGATGGGCCCCGTTGCACTAAGTCTGTGTCTGACTCTGGTTCTGCTGCCACCATCTGGTCTGCAGCCCAGGCCTTTGCCACATTCAGCAGAAATGCCTTGTATTTCAATTTTGAATGAGGGTTTAGATTTTTTAAAACCAAAAATGAATTGAAAATGGCACAATTTATAAGCCACAAGGCAACTTTCTTTGTCCACTTTACTGTTTTCCGAGGAAGAGAATAATAGGCCAAGTACTGATTGGCTCTATCAACTCCCTTCATGAACATATTATACTCGGAAATACAAACAGGCTTCTTTACCTGTCCATGTCTCCTTTGAACATCAACCATGCTTGAACTGTGAATTGTAGAAATCATATTCACAACATGAGTATCCNCAATGTTGCTACCCGCACATTCGTTGGAGCTACGGTCACTTTCACTTTCACTTTCACTGTCTGTGGTCACAATTTTTTGTTCGCCACTGCCACACTCACTATCAGATTGTGAGTCGCTATCACTAGCAGACTCACAAGGGACGTCAGATAGCTCATCGGAGAAGTAAGATATTTCTTGTTCTCCAAGAAATTGCTTGGGTGTCAACAGCTTTGGTCTTTGATCCATATTGAACTACTGACTGACAGCTTGCTACGTAAAGCTTGAAGAAATAAAGGCATTTATTGTCCTTTGCAGGGGCATAGAGTTACAGCGAGGTCTAGTAACTGATTGGTCAGCAGACATTCCAGAGCCTTATAACGCAGCTGCAAGCAGCTACGTGCTAGCTAGGTGGAGCCAGAGAGATGTATAGTTTGTTGCAACTTATCGTGTTTTAAAAACCTGTTAACACGCGAACGGTCCGCCATGTTTAAAAGCGAAAAACCTTTTAAAGGGTGCGCGGTCCGCAAAGTGTTAAAGGCTGCATTTTCAATGGAAATTCCTTTCCTAAAGCCAAACTGTTCTGGGACTAGTATATTGTTACTCTGAAAATAATGGCTTAACGTATTGTGCATAACTTTTTAAAATACTTTAGAGAAAGTAGTTAGTAGTGAAATTGGCCTGTAGTTCGACATATTAGTTTTGTCCCCTTTTTTATATAGTGGTCTTACTACTGAAATCTTAAGATGATCAGAAAAGATTCCTGTTGATAGTGAGTGATTACAGATGTGAGTTAATGGGCTACTGATCAGACATGCACAAACTTCTGAAATTTTACTTGTTATTCCATCATAACCTGAAGAGATTTTTGTTTTGAGGGAATGTATTATACTTTTTATTTCAGTTTCAGTGGTTGGAATAGTTTTAATACCATGGAATGTTGTAGGAAATGTCTCTCTTAAAAATGAAATGGCATTATCTCTCACTTCTTGATGCAAGTTTAGATTTTCTGTAATCGTTAGATAGAAAGTATTGAAGGCATCCACAATTACCCCTGGGTCCCCAACTTTTTCATCATTTATAAGGAGAGATGGTATCTGTTCAGTCAGATATGATTTTCCTGTTTCATGTTTTATTATATTCCAGGTTTTTTATCTGATTATTCGATTTTGCTATAAGCCTACAGTAATGCTGCCTTTTAGCCTGTTTAATAACTCTACTCAGGATTTTGCAATACCTTATGTAGTATGCTCTCATGTAGGGATTATTACTGCTCCTGCTGTCTACATACAGACGCCTTTTATGTTTACAAGATATTTTTGTTTGTTTGTGTAATCCAGTGGTTTTTTATTCTATTTACACTTTTATTCTGCATAGGAAAACTGGCTTCAAAGATATTTAGAAAAATATATAAAAAGGAGTTAAACTTATAATTTGTATCCTTATTTTTGAAAACAGGTTCCCATGTTTCATTTTCTAATAGACGTTGAAATTGAGCAATGATTTCACTATTTATTTTTCTGGGTCTCCGTTTCAAGGATGTTGAATTTACTTCCGCAATATTATTATCTACTTTAAGAAATTGAGCATCCTTGACTTGATCATTCTAATTATACTTGGAGAAGAGTACAAGCTCCTCATTATGCAGCTTTCTCCAACCTCCTGTCACTTCATCTCTCTTCAGTCCAAATATTCTTCTCAACACCCTGTTCTCAAACGCCCTCAGTCTATGTTCCTCCCTTAATGTTAGAGACCAAGTTTCACACCCATACAGAACCACCGGCAAAATTATAGTTTCGTATATTTTAATTTTTTTTTAGACAGCAGACAAGAAGACAAATGTTCTGGACTGAATGGTAGCAAGCATTACTCAAGTTCAATCACCTCTTAATTTCCCCCTCAATCAGGTTTTGAATTGTTATCGTCGGTCCAAAATATCTGAAATGTGCCACATTTTCAAAACATCTGTTTCCTATCTTTATGTCATGATTTTGCCCTGCATTTTGGTGATGAGACAGCAACATATTCTTAGTTTTCTATGTATTTACTTCTAGACCAACCTCCTTACTTGCGTCAATTAAAGTTTGTGTTTTTCTTTATGGTACCTATATTATCACCCAGTAGATTCACATCATCGGCACAGACCAACAGCTGATGTGTCCCATTCAATATCAGTACCACATGGTTTTCCTGGACCTTCCTAATGGCATATTCTAAAGCAAAGTTGAAAAGGAGTGGCAATAAAGCATCTCCCTGTTTTAGACCATTCTGGATAGGAAATTTATCAGACAAACGTTTACCTACACAGACTTCAACCTAACTAGTTTTATGGGTGTTCCAAACTCTATCAAAATATTGTACAATACTTCCCTCCTAACTGAATCATAGACTTTCTTGAAGTACCATTATTTATTAGAGTCCGTCACAACACAACAATACAATGGTCAAGGCTAAAGTTAGCTTAGCTACATGTTTCGGCTCTTAAAGCCATCATCAGGCAAACACAATTACCATATTGACACACTACTGAACTGCAACTGCGATGGTGAAGCTGGATTCCTGATAATTATAAATAATAATTATAAAATACATGGTATAAAAATACAATGAACTATAAACTTATTATAAAAACAAAAGTTATGGCATAAAATAAGGTTAAAAACTCTTCATGTGATATTCCATATCATCAAGTCAGCTGTTGCAATTTTGTTACATTCTCATGGACATAATGGTATATTCTAGACTTGTATACATACAGTAAACTGCTTGGAGACCCGTGGTAAAGATGTAGTAGTCTACAAATAGCTGATGTACTGTCTCATTGTACTCCCATTTTTTCTCCAATATCTGATGAATGCAAAAGATCTGATCTGTAGTTGATCTGTTACGTCAAAACCCACACTGATTATTCCCAATAATTTCATCTATGTATGGACTTAACCTTGAGAGAAGTACATTGGATAAAATTTTGTATGCAGTTGATAACAGTGATATCCCCTGATAATTACTAGTCAGTTTTATCACCCTTTTTGTGAACTGGTACAATAACAGACTCTTTCCACTGATCAGGCAATTTTTCCTTATGCCAAATAGAAGTAATTAGTTTATGGATCTTAGAACGTAATAGTTCACCTCCTGCTTGAATAAGTTCTAACAGAATTTGATCACTACCTGGCGATTTATACACTTCTCATATATAAATTTTGTTAATTGAACATTTCTTTTAGTGTCCTTTCATTACAGCCTTCAGAGCTTGAAAAATAAAACTTAAACAAATCTTTTGGCAGACTCTAATTGCTCATAGTCTTCCTTCATTAAAAATCTGTATAAAAGAATGTAGAGACACCCTTAAATGTTAGGGGAAAAAAAATATTCATTATTCTACTTTCCTTTTGTACTTTCACTTGTGATATATAGTCAAACATATTGAAGCCCTGGTACACTATCAAAACAGTAACCATTCTGTATCAGATACTTCAGTGATATGGAACCCATCACTTCTGTATAAGAAATTATGAAATGCTGCTCTAAAATCACAGTCTTATATGAATATAATATGATTTCTTGTGAGGGCTTATTATAATGGCAACATTATAAGGTTAGAAATACTGGGATTTTGGACCTCGATCACTGGCTCTTTCTAAGGGATCCAACTGAATATTTATTTGTCTTCCCTCCTCACCTGAGGACAGAAACAGATTCAGTTTCAGAAAGTCTTATTTTCTATGAAGAAAGCAGTCTTCTGCGATTTGGCACCGTGTATATGTGGTGTTAACCGACGTTTCGGAGGAATGTATCGCCTCCATCTTCAGGGTAGAAGAAAAAATACAAGAAATCTGCAAGCTTCTACCCACATATACACGGTGCCAAATCCCAGAAGACTGCTTTCTTCATAGTCACCGCCATGAAAGCCTCAAATCTTACATCTTATTTTCTAGTCTTAGAATACCAAATGATTGAAAAAGTAAAAAAAAAAACCCAGTTATTCTGAGTCTTATACACCACTGTCAGAACCCTTTAGAATCTATTATAAGGTTACCTCTTATGACGTGCAAGACTGGACTGCTGTGTGAAGGCCTTCCCACAAATACAATGGTATGACTTCTCCCCTGTATGTGTGTTGCGATGTTGGAGCATGGTTGACATCTGTGTAAATGCTCGTTCACAGATTGTACACCTGTAACGCTTTTCTCCACTATGGATACGTTTGTGACTTGCAAGCGTATGCTTGTGCACAAATGCTTTCCCACATACATCACACATGTAACTGCGGATTCCTGAGTGTACCACCTGAAAAACATAACATATATAATGAAGTAATAAGTACAAAGTTATCTAAGATAATGTAAGTCTAGAGATGAATATATGATTAGCTTTACAATCCATTCACAATATACAAAATGTTTGCCAAAACTTGGTCACTTACAGTACACTACAAGCAGAACCAGTCTCATCCAGATGATGAATTCATGCCAAATGCCTATAAGTATTAACATGGAGGAAGTACTGTAGGTCTACGTAGCAGCATAAGTGTACCTAGCATACTGAGCTTACATATGGAATACAATCTTTAGTAAGGAGATCTCAAAACACTACACTGTTCAAAGTTTTTTATTTAGATTATGTAGTGCCAAATGGTTGGGGCATGCGGCAGAGTAGTTGGTTGAGGCACTATGCTACAAGACGGAAGGTGGCAGGTTCAAGTCCCGATGAGGTCACTGGATTTTTTTCAATTGACCTAATGCTTCCAGCCACACTATGGCCCTGGGGTCGACTCAGCCTCTAACAGAAATGAGTACCAGGAATATATTTGGAATGTTGTTGGGGTAAAGGGCGGCTGGCGAGTAGGGCTGACAACCTTGCCGCCATCTATGAGCTGACTGTCTAGAAAATGTGGGAACCTCAACATCTTACAACCCTATGGGGCCTCCATGGCCTGTTACATGGATTCCTTTTCTTTTTTTTTTTTTGCTTTTACTGCCGAATGAATAATAATAATTGAATAATGGGAAAGGATGGGGTAGGAAACAATTGTGGCCTGATCTGAGGAACTATATTACATTTGCTGGGGGTGGATTAAGGAAAACCATGGTCAGTGTCCCAATTGAGATTCAAACCAAGCACCTCCTGAATATATGTCAGAGGCATTACTGCTTGAGGCAGTGTTGTTAGTCACTACACTGTGTTTTAAGTGAAATAACATACAAGACCAAAAAAGAATGCATAAAGCCATACATTTATCCCCCGTGTGTTCATGGAGCGAGGCTTAATTAAGTTGAGACACAAATTCATATTATTTACCTACCCAGCCAAGCAAATCCTCAGGAATTTTTCGATTTTACTACCTTTTATGACAGCATTATTGGTACATAAAAACACACACTGTCAGATTTCAAGCCATAGATCTCATTATTCATTCTTTTCCAGCTGAAACTCTGACTGATGGAAAAGTGCCACTAAATAAGCCATGAATAAATCCATCAGTAGTTGACTGACTGGATCTACTCAGTTCACCAACTAGATTCAACTGTATACAGCTGTAATAGTACTGATTATTACTATTAATGTTGTTGTTGTTGTTGTTATTAACAAAGACTATTTTAAGTCTTTCAGTGAAAGTGACCTCAGAAATTCTCAATTAAAACATGTTCTGAAAACATCTATTTATGTTCAGTTGCCTCCATTCAAAACAGAGAGCTACCTGAAGTAATTTCAACAACTCTCCTTTGTCAAAGCAATGCTGCCTGCCTGGTACGGTTGCTTGGGCTATCATGGCGTATCTTCACTGGTATCAGACACAAATGATTCAGTTCTATTCAAGCCAGGTTCTGGCAAAAGAGTAAAATGTAATATGATGTTCTACTTTCACATGTGATATTTTTGTAAACACCCAATTGAGAGAAAATAACTGATAGTCTGCAATGCTGAGCAAAACAATAATAGTGGAAAAATTTCGTAAAACAGGCTTTATTCTTTAATATCTACCAGATTAAAGAGGCATACATTTTGTTTAAGGCTCCTTTAGCCCAGTTACATCAGGACATCTTGATGGATAAGTCTGGTTTGGTAGATTTTAAGATATTGGGGTCTTCTGGATGTGGGTTACTGTGATTTTGTGAGGGCATGAAAATGAATAGTAGTCAGGTGATAAAGTCTTTAAAACATGGATGAAGCATATGGGATTTTATTATTACACCACACAAAGTCAGAACACTGGAAATAATCGCTTTGGTTACGCATTCACTAAAAGTTACATATATCACACAATGTGATATTAAATGGTAAAACTATAGTAATCATATTTCCAAAGCTTTCTGTTTCAAACATACCAAGAATGGCTATTCTGAAAGAACATGGTATGTAAGATATAAGGAAATGTGACAAACAGTGAAATCAACAGTTAACAATTACACTTACAAGCAACAACAGATACATGAGATAATAAAGTTGATCTGAACAGGATGTCACTAACCTTATAAGTCTTTGTGTTCTTACCATAAAACTTTGATGATGGATAATGTTCAGGGTATTAAAACTAACGTTTTGTAAACTACTGTTAAAGATGTAGAAACATCAGAATTCAAAATTTCACAGGACACTAAAATTCATATTGTAAAACACCTGTAAACAAAAGCATGCCTCATAAAATTATGTATCAGCTCCAGGAAACAGCTGTAGCATACCTTGTGGTGTGTGAGTGTATAGTTGTCAGCAAAGGCACGGCCACACTGATCACAGACATATGGTTTCAGTCCAGCATGTCTGCGCTCATGGTTTGCAAGGATTCCAGCTGTGAGAAATGCCTTGCCACACAGGTGACACACATGAGACTTAACACCAGCATGTGTGCTCTTGTGGTATGCCAAGTTTCCAGACTGCGAGTATGATTTGCCACATATATCACATTTATAAGGTCGGATGCCAAGATGTAATCTCTTATGTGCTTCCAATGTGTTGGCACTACTACAAATACAAAACATATTTATGTCTTACAATACTATCACATTAAATATCACAAGAAAAGCGGTCTCCGTAGTCTAGGGGTAACGTTCCCACCTCATGACTCAAGGTGCGCGGGTTCAAACCCGGCGGAGGTCGTGGAATTTTTAAGGGTGGAAAAATTCAGGGAACAGGTCCTCCGGGAGGGACTTTAAGCCATGGGTCCCGTGTCGTNGTAAAAGAACCTCATGTCTCTAGGAGACCCCTGAGCTAAATTTGGCCAAAAAGTTTCCCGCCAAAAGTAGTTTCCAATGCCTCCGGTAGATGGGGGAAGTATTAGGTACCACTGCCAGAGGAGGGGGGACCTCTCTGACAGAAAGGGACTAACTATTAGATACCACTGCCAGTAGAAGGTTGGAACCTCGCTGGCAGAAAGAGGCTGATAGTAAGCACCAGTACAGGTAGGGGATGGAGACTGTAGAAATTAAAAGGGAGACGTACAATAGACTATCAGTCACGGTGCATGGGGAAACCCAACCCCTCAATACTGAATAACTGAAATATCACAAGAAAAGTATGATTGTACATAGATGTTACTTTCTAGAAAACATTTCAACCACACACATTTTTTGATAGCCCATTTTTCTTAAGATAATTTACATACTTACTTACTCATGGAGCTGAGCCCTTCTGGAGGAGCTGCCAATTCTGCAGCTACTCAAGAATTTCCCAGCATTTTATGGAACCTGAAGGTTCATTACCATGTTCAGCCTCTAACAGAAATGAGTACCAGGAATCAATTAAATAATTTTCCTGGGGAGTAAAGCGTGGCAGGCGCGTAGGGCTGACAACCTTACCGCCATCTTTGGGCCGATTGTCTAGACAATGTGGGACCCTCAACTTCTCACAACCCTATGGGCCTCCATGGCCTGGTATGGGGATAGCTTTACTTTTTACTTTTACTTTTTACAAGAGCCCTCCACTGGTCCCTCTCCTGAGCCAGATCTATCCAATCCATACCATCCCATCCTACCTCT